TCTAGTCTGACCTCCCGCATGATGCAGGCCACAAAAGCTGACCCACCCACTCCTGGAATAATTCTCTCCCTTGACTCAGCTGTTGAAGTCCCCAAATCATGATTTAAAGACTTCAAGTCGCAGAGAATCCTCCAGCAAGCGACCCCTGCCCCATGCTGCGGAGGAAGGCGAAAAACCTCCAGGGCCTCTGCCAATCTACCCTGGAGGGAAATTCCTTCCCGACCCCAAATATGGCGATCAGCAGAACCCCGAGCATGCGGGCATGATTCTCCAGCCAGACCGACATTGACCATTGATACTAATTACCAGCGATGGCATGTTATTGACCTATTGACTAAAATCACGTTATCCCATCAAACCATCCCCTCCATAAACTTATCAAGCTTAATCTTAAAGCCAGAGAGGTCTTTCGCCCCCACTGTTTCCCTCGGAAGGCTGTTCCAGAACTTCACCCCTCTGACGGTTAGAAACCGTCGTCTAATTTCAAGCCTAAACTTCCCGACGGCCAGTTTATATCCATTTGTTCTCGTGTCCACATTAGTACTGAGCTGAAATAATTCCTCTCCCTCCCTGATAATTCCTCTCCTATTGTTGTATGTAAAGTAAATAAGGTTTTTAAAATGTTTAAGAAGCTTCATTTAAAATTAAATTAAAATGCAGAGCCCCCGGACGGGTGGCCAGGACCTGGGCAGTGTGAGTGCCACTGAAAATCAGCTCGCGTGCCGCCTTTGGCACGCGTGCCCTAGGTTACCTACCCCTGCTATATCAGATATGGACTGGATACAGAGCTTGCATCTGCGCAAGGTACACAGCAGTTGTGTTCGTTGTAAGATCCATTAGTGCTCTGCCAGGTATGGCTGAGGCTAGTGTAAATAAGGTCTTTTACACACAGTGCCACGTAGTGGCTGAGCTGTGTAATAGAGTTTAGCGTTCCTTTACACAAGTTTATGACATTTAGGAGGTGGGAGGCAGAAGGGAACATGCCAATTGAGACCTTTGTTGACAAGCACTTTGCTCACGCATTCTCTGGCCGCTTTACAATGTGACCACTATTTCCCTATTCCTCCAGGTCCAGGCTGACTCTAGTAGTTCTTACCTAGGTAATTCATAGTTTATGCGCACACACAGATATTGAGTACTTGCTGCCTCTAATATTCCAGTGCCCTAGACAATTGCCTCTTCCAACTGCATGGTTTAGTTGGTGGTGGTTCTGTATACTGTGCGGATGTTTTCAGAGAACTATCCACACTGACTCCAAGATCTTTCATGAATGGTAACAGCTAATTTAGATCCCATCATTTTGTATGTATGGTTGGGATTGTTTTTCAATGTCCATTACTTTGCATTTATCAACATTGAATTTCATCTGCCATTTTGTTGCTCAGTCACCCGGTTTAGTAAGATCCCTTTGTAACTCTTCGCAGTCTGCTTTGGATTTAACTATCTTGAGTAGTTTCGTATCATTTGCGAATTTTGCTACCTCACTGTTTGTTTACCCCCTTTTCCAGATCACTTATGAATATGTTGAATAATACTGGTCCCAGTACAGATCCTTGGGTGACACCTCTCTTTACCTCTCTCCATTCTGAAAACTGGCCATTTATTCCTACCCTTTGTTTCCTATCTTTTAACCAGTTGCTGGTCCATGAGAGGACTTTCCTCTTATCCCATGACTGCTTATTTTGCTTAAGAGCCTTAGGTGAGGGACCTCATCAATGGCTTTCTGAAAGTCCATGTATACTATATGCTCTGGATCACCTTTGTTCACATGTTTGTTGACCCCCCTCAAAGAATTGTAATAGATTGATGAGGCATGATTTCCCTTTACACAAGCCGTGTTGACTCTTCCCCAACAAATCGTGTTCATCTATGTGTCTGATAATTCTGTTCTATACTAACATAAGAATGGCCATACTGGGTCAGACCAAAGGTCCATCCAGCCCAGTATCCTGTCTGCCAACAGTGGCCAATGCCAGGTGCCCCAGAGGGAGTGAACCTAACAGGTAATGATCAAGTGATCTCTCTCCTGCCATCCATCTCCACCCTCTGACAAACAGAGGCTAGGGACACCATTCCTTACCCATCCTGGCTAATAGCCATTAATGGACTTAACCTCCATGAATTTAGCTAGTTCTCTTTTAAACCCTGTTATAGTCCTAGCCTTCACAACCTCCTCAGGCAAGGAGTTCCACAGGTTGACTGTGTGCTGTGTGAAGAAGAACTTCCTTTTATTTGTTTTAAACCTGCTGCCCATTAATTTCATTTGGTGGCCCCTAGTTCTTATATTATGGGAACGAGTAAATAGCTTTTCCTTATTCACTTTCTCCACACCACTCATGATTTTATACACTTCTATCATATCCCCCCTTAGTCTCCTCTTTTCCAAGCTGAAAAGTCCTACCGTCTTTAATCTCTCCTCATATGGGACCCGTTCCAAACCCCTAATCATTTTAGTTGCCCTTCTCTGTACCTTTTCTAATGCCAATATATCTTTTTTGAGATGAGGAGACCACATCTGTACGCAGTATTCAAGATGTGGGCGTACCATGGATTTATATAAGGGCAATGAGATATTCTCCATCTTATTCTCTATCCCTTTTTGAACAATTCCTAACATCCTGTTTGCTTTTTTGACTGCCGCTGCACACTGTGTGGACATCTTCAGAGAACTATCCACGATGACTCCAAGATCTCTTTCCTGATTAGTTGTAGCTAAATTAGCCCCCATCATATTGTATGTATAGTTGGGATTATTTTTTCCAATGTGCATTACTTTACATTTATCCACATTAAATTTCTTTTGCCATTTTGTTGCCCAATCACTTAGTTTTGTGAGATCTTTTTGAAGTTCTTCACAGTCTGCTTTGGTCTTAACTATCTTGACTATCTTAACTACAGTTTCAACCAACTTGCCTGGTCCTGAAATTAGGTTTACCAGCTTGTAATTGCCAGGATCACCTTTGGAACCTTTTTTAAAAATTGGCATGACATTAACTATCCTCTAGCCATCTGTTACAGCAGCTGATTTAAGAGAGGTTACATAGCATATTTGAGTTCGTTCAGAACTTTTGGGTGAATACCATCTGGTTCTAGTTATTTATTACTGTTTGTTTAAGCAATCTATTCCAAAACCTACTCTACCGACACCTCAGTCTGGGTCAGTTCCTCAGATTTGTCACCTAAAAAGAATGGCTGAGGAGTGAGAAAATCTCTCACATCCTTGGCAGTGAAGACTGATGCAAAGAATTAATTTAGCTTCTCCTCAATGGTCTTGTCTTCCCTGAGTGCTCCTTTAGCACCTCGATCGTTCAGTGGCCCCACTGGTTGATTGTTTGGCAGGCTTCTGATGTACTTTAAAAAAATTTGCTGTTAGTTTTTGAGTCTCTTGCTAGTTGCTCTTCAAATTCTTTTTTGGCCTGCCTAATTACACTTTTACATTTGCCTTGCCAGAGTTTATGCTCCTTTCTATTTTCCTCAGTAGGATTTGACTTCCAAATTTTAAAGGATGCCTTTTTGCCTCTAACTGCTGCTTTTACTCTGTTTAGCCACAGTGGCATTTTTTGGTCCTCTTACTATGTTCTTTAATTTGGGATATACATTTAATTTGAACTTTTATTATGGTGTTTTTAATGAGTTTCCATGCAGCTTGCAGGCATTTCACTCTTGTGACTGTATCTTTTAATTTCTGTTTAACTAGCTTCTTCATTTTTGTGTAGTTCCCCTTTATGAAATGCTACCATGTTGGGCTTCTTTGGTATTTTCCCTTCCACAGAGATGTTAAATTTAATTATATTATGATCGCTATTACCGAGCAGTTCAACTATATTCACCTCTTGGAAAAGATCCTGTACTCCACTTAGGACTAAATCAAGAATTTCCTCTCCCCTTGGTGGGTTCCTGGGCTAGCTGCTACCAGAAACAGTCATTAATGGTGTCTAGAAATTTTCATCTCTGCATCCTGTCCTGAGGTGAAAGGTACCCAGTCAATAGGGGGATAGTTGAAATCTCCTATTATTATTGAGTGTTCTATTCTTATAGCCTCTCCTAGGCCTGGTCTACACTAACCCCCCAAGTCGAAGTAAGGTACGCAACTTCAGCTACGTGAATAACGTAGCTGAAGTCGACATACCTTACTTCGAACTTACCGCGGTTCAGACGCGGTCCACACGGGGCAGGCAGGCTCCCCCGTCGACTCCGCGGTACTCCTCTCGTTGAGATGGAGTACCGCAGTCGACGGCGAGCACTTTCTGGTTCGATTTATCGCGTCCAGACCAGACGCGATAAATCGAACCCGGAAGTTCGATCCCCAGCCGCCGAACTAGCGGCTAAGTATAGACCAGCCCCTAGTCTCCCTGAGCATTTCACAATCACCATCCTAGTCAGATGGTCAGTAATATATTCCTACTGGTATACTCTTATTATTCAAGCATGGAGTTTCTCTCCATAGAGATTCTATGGTACAGTTTGATTCATTTAAGATTTTTACTATATTTGACTCTATGCTTTCTTTCACATACAGTGCCACTCCCCCACCAGCATGACCTACTCTGTATATACCTACAAAGTATATACCCTGGTATTTTAGTGTTCCATTGATTATCATTGTTCCACCAATCTTCTCTGATGCCTATTATATCAATATCCTCATTTATTATCAGGCAGTCAAGTTCACCCATCTTAATATTGAGACATCTAGCATTTGTATACAAGCACTTACAAAATTTGTCAGTTTTTAGTTGTTGTTTGCAATTATGTAATGTAATTGAATTGGGACTCTTTTTCATTTGACTGTTTTCTCTTCAGTTCCTACATGTACTTTATCAACTTCTGACAGTGGTGGAAACTGAACACTGCTTTGTCTGTCTGGCATTTTTCATAGCACTGAACTTAATACTTAAAATTGTAAACTATTTAAACAAAGTTCACTGTGGTGAGAGATTTCTTGGTGTGTCAAACTATTTTATCAGCTGTCAAACTCAACTTTTGCTTATTCTTTCCAGACTCAGCTTCAAAAGGAAAAAGATCAGAATCATATGGAGCTCCATGCAAAACTTGAAAAGCTTGAAGTCCTAGAAAAAGAGTGCTTCAGACTTCTCACTACACAGAGAACTGCAGAAGTAAGCAAGCCTAACATGACCATGTGTGGTTACAGTTCATTTCAAATTTCTTTGTGCCACGGTTGCCAATTGTTATAAAATACACAGACCATTTATCAACTGTAGCTCAGCAGAGGAGTAGAAGATCTCCACATTCACTTTGCCTTCTACCTCAGACTTCATTTCCTATAAATCTGAGGAATTTAAGCCTGCTTTTCAAGATTCCTTCAATCTTGTTATAGTCAAAATTACTAAATTGCAAGGTACTTGCCAATTCTGATTCACTGGGCCAGCCTTAAATGTGACTAACCATACTTATGTTCTGTTTCAGGACAAGATCAAACAATTGGAGGACAAGCTTCGTGAAGAAGAGCATCAGCGTAAGTTAATACAAGACAAAGCTGCTCAGGTAGGATAACCAAATTACTTGATTTATCGCTGAGGAAATACTGTTGCTATTCAAGACACTTTTTATAACCTGTTTACTTGCTGGGAAAAGTTCTGTAACGCCAAATTGACAACTCAAAATGATAAGCTTTGCTTAGTGAGGTTTATATTTTTATGTATATTTGGCTTCTTCTATAACATCAGCTCCATAGGTAAGACTGAGTTGTGTTTTGCACTTAAAGCAGGGATTCAACCTTTTTATTTTATTTTTTTTAAATGCACAAAGAATACAGCACATTCTCCTTAAAATTAGAGTAAAATTGAATAAACAATGAATTTTCTGAGAATTTATAAGAAGTTAGTTTAATTAAGCAACTTAGCATCCTAGGTTAAACTTTTTGTCCTGAACTATCTTAATGGAATAACACAGACACTTTCAACTTTCCATATGGTTAAAACTCACTGAAATCCTATACATTTGACTACACTTTAGAGACCTTTTTCTTTGTAAGATTCATTTTTTCACTATTAAATAAAAAAATTCTTCATCAGAGTCTGAAAAATAAATGATCTTCTATAGAGAATTCCGTGAAGAACTGCTTTTGCTGCCAGGGCCATCATCTTCCCTGAGTGCAGCTTGATTTTACTCACACTAAGAACACTGAGAGACAGTAGCCATTTTAAAAGAGGGCATGTTAGCTATGGGCAGTCATAGCCTCACTCTCATTGAGAACTATACTAGGTAGCAGCCGTTTTGAAAGAGGGCAGTTCTTTTGGGAATTTACTGTAGAAGAATACTTACTCTTCAGCTCTTGTGTTGCAAGGACCTAACAATTACAGAAATGTAGATCTGGAAGAGACCTCAAGAGGTCATCTAGTCCAGCCCCCTGTGCTGAAATAGGACCAAGTACACCTAGACCATCCCTGTCAGGTGTTTGTCCAACTTCCCTTGAAAGCCTATTCTAGAACTTAACTACCCGTATAGTTATAAAGGTTTTTCCTAATATCTAACCTATATCTCCCTTGCTCCAGATTACGCCCATTACATTTTATCTTACTTTCAGCGGACAACACATAACAAATGATCACTGTCCTCTTTATAACACCCCTTAACAGATTTGAAGGCTGTTATCAGGTCCCATCTCAGTCATCTTATCTCAAGATTAAACATGTTCACTTTTTTTAACTTCTCCACATAAGTCAGGTTTTCTAAACCTTTTTGTCATTTTTGTTGCTCTCCTCTAGACACACTCTCCAGTTTATCTACATCTTCCCTAAAGTGTGGTACTCAGAATTGGACACAGTACTTCAGCTGAGGCCTCACCAGTGCTAAACAGAGCAGGACAATTACCTCCCATGTTCTATATATGACAGTGTTTTACAATAAGAGAAGCTGGCTCCTTACCCATTTTCACCATTGCAGTCGCCTCCTGCAGCAGTTCCAACACAACCTCACTGGCTTCCATCAGTCAGGAACTGCAGAATTACCCCAACACCTCCAGAACTTAGCTGAATGCCACGCCCAAAACACAGTCCTCTGGGTCTCTCCCTTAACTAGTTTTGCTACCACATAAGCAGGGAGCCTGCTGTGCATGTCTGACCTTATCAAAAAATACATAATACAGAGCTTGCTGAGAGCAATTAATTTGTCTTCAGTGCCACTGCAGAGAGACTCCATCAGTGCAAGAAAGGACTCTGGTGCAGTAATGTGATCAGTATGCTGACTATTAGTCAGATTTTTACCATAATCCAGGATCTATCAGAGTTGGTTTTGGGGTGGGGAAACCTTCTCTGTTACAGGTCAGGTGCCATGACTTCCCTTCAATCTTCTCTTGATTCACGCTCAGTGAAGTATCTGGCTGGGGTAGTTTGAGCTGATGATAGTTCTACCACATCTTTTAGCCAGGTCTGTTTATATGTGCAAAGACGGAGTCCTCATCCCTTAAAAGGATGAATGTTAACTGCCTTATTACACTAATCTTGTATAGACAACAGTAATTGTAAAGTAATGCCTAGAAAAAACCCTGGCTTGGACAAAGGGACTGATGCTAAATATTGCATGACAGGTGATGGATCACTCAATTGCCCTATTTTGTTTGTTTGCTCTGAAGCGTCTGGCTCCAGCCACTGTTGGAAGACAGGACACTGGTCTAGATGGGCCATTGGTGACCCAATATGTCTGTTCCTATGTTGTCCAAACCTCTTCCTGCTTTAAATGGCCATATCCCCAGCTCACTGCAGCATTAGTTGTGGTAGTCCAAGAGATACAGTTACTGTACTTGGATTTGGAAATTGCAACGCTGCCTTGGAGATTGCTAGGTATATTTGATACCATGACATCCTGTATCATATTCCGTCTCCATATCCCCTTTTATAATCCTCATGCCTCCCAGAGATTTTAGTGAGTAATGCATCTAATTGAATCTTCATCGACACATGAAAGAGAGGATTAATCTGTGCTATTTAAAAACTTTTGATATTAAATACTTTTTTCTCATTACTATAGCTTCAAATTGGACTTGAGATCAATAGAATTTTAACGTCTTCAGTGTCATCTCAAAATGAACCAAAAAAGAAAAGCCGGAAAAAGAAAACTGCAAAAGTAACATGCAAGTTTGTCATTTGCAGCGTGATAATGTCTCTAACATGCCTCTTATTTTTGTAGCATCTCATTCATGGAGTGATAGGGATGCTACTTGAAAAGTGGTGGTGGGTGGGGTTCTGTTGGCTCTCTGTACTCTGTCATTTACTCTGGAAATATAACATGCTGTTTTTCCCTCTCTTTAGATAACTAAAATATGTTTAGTGTGGTAATGCCTAGTTTTTAAATAGAAAACTTGCCCACTCCAGCAGAACCTTAAACTATGCATGGCCATTTCACTGACCTGTGTTTATGGTTCCTTAGTCGATTTTTGAATTTACTTTCAAGACCACTTGAACTAGAATTTTTTTGAGATGCTGTAGCAAGTGTCATACTGAAGTCAAGATGAACTTCACCCACTGCATTCTTTTCATCCACAGGCACTGCAGGTCTGCTAAAATGACACGACTTGTAAAACTGAGTCTGTTAAATGCCACATAGGTGGTGCTAAATTTCTCTAATCGTAATCTACTACTGAATTGTCAGATTAACTGTGTACTAGATCTCAGTCTTATTGGAAATTCTTCTGTATTTGGGAGAAGTAGGAAAACTTTAATACCCATTAAAGGAGATGAATCGAGACTGCATATTTCACTGGCTATTATGGAGCATTGCTTTTGTATGGAATGATTTGTTGCTGAAGTGTAGCTCAGACTTGTTCTCACTGGGGATGGGTGGGGAAGGCTTGTTGACAAAATACTTGGGTTATGCTCTTCTTTATTATTTGTATTGTGGTAGCACTTAGAAGCCTCAGTCGTGGAGCAGGACCTTGTTGTTCTAGACACTGCACAAACACAGAACAAAAACAGCTCTTGCTTCAAAGAGTTTAAAGTCTAATTTTGAAAGAATAATTTTAAGGTTGCACTGTTAGGCAAACATGTCTTCTGTCTACTATCTGTCAGAAAAAATCTGCTCTGAAGAAAGTACATCCTCCACAATTTTGCCTAAAGGCTGGGATGCTGCCTTTTGTGGCTGGGAAGGTAAGCCTGATTTAGATTCTCATTTAAACGTGTGTCCACATTCTTTTTAAATGAACATTCTTCCATTAATTCCCTTCGTTATTGCTGCTTACAGAAGTTTCCTTTTCTCCTCTCTCAAGTCTGCCAGCTCCAGCCATTCTGTTAGTGCAAACGTACAAAGTGTCTTACATATGATGAAACATCGTAGTCCATGTATCTTGTCACGGTGTCCAGAAGCAGCTGAACACAGGATTTCTAGACGAACAATTGCTTGCAAATCTATATCCTCTCGTTCCACATCTTCTTCTGTCACTGAAAATCTATCTGACCTTTTGCTGGCGATACAAGATGAGCTAGGCCAAATGAGCTTGTAAGTATGCATCTGTGTATTCTCTCCCAAAGGATAAAAAGACTGTGATGCTCTCAGTAAAAATGGCTGCAAGCTGCAGGCATGTGAGGGCTATTTGGAGGTTGTACTAGAGTATGTTTTGATCTAAAAATATTTGGGGAGTGGGGTTTGGGTGGATCTTGCAGATAGGATTTTCTATCATTGGGAAGCTTTTATAGCCCTTGCATTTAAACAGCCTCATGAGCAGATAGTGGAGGTTCTTTTGTACTTTTGGGGCTTTTTTTTTTTTTTTTAAACCGCACTTAGCCTGCTGCACTAATATCATATCTAAAATAAGGCCTGAAGGATATCCTTATCCTCAAAGCTACACAGCAAAATGGTAGGTTTCCTTTTGGAGAAACCTTTTATCAGATACCTAGAAGAGTAAACCATATTGCTGTAGGGGTGTTGCCAGCTTTGACTTTATTGTGACTGACAAGAGGCCTGAAATGAAAGGGCCATTAGTCCAGAAAGGACAACTGCATGGGTTGGAGACTAGATGTTCTGCTGGTGTCCATCTAATCCTTGTAAATAGCATGTGTGTTTTGAATCAACATTGCATTTTAAAATTCCTATCTTACAAATCATGCTGAAATAGTTGTTGGTCGTCATTTCAGGACATGTGGAATTGATTAATCTAAGCTGTTTGCAGAATCTCTTCTTCACAGAGCCCTAGTTATAACTCCCTTATTAGTTGTGTGCCAATCAGAGAAAATATTTGTTTTAGAGTAGCAATTTAAGCTGGAGGAATTTATGAAGAGAAGAAATAATTATTCATTTTCAGTTGTGCTCACTTTGTGCTAGGCATATTAAAATATAAAAGAAGGCATGGCCCTTTGCCACAAAGAGCTTGTTGGTCAATAACTTTTAACTGGGAAATGTTCTTATCCTTTGTAATTAATATATAGCTTTACTCCATGCATTAGGGAGCTCTAAACTACAGTTTCTCTCATTAGTTTGTAGAGTGAAATGTTTGGAACAGTAATTGCCAGTAGCAACAAACCATGCAGTTAATTTTGCCCAGTAGAATTCTTAATTTTACTTGATTAATTTGACAAAAGCACTATAACTTTCATTAGTGGTTGTAAAACAAGTTTTTCTGAATTATGTTAAGCACTCTTACTCTGAGGCAACCTAGATAGGGGTTGGAATTGGCCAGTATACAGTGTGTGTGTGTGTATTGCCTGCTATTTACTTTAGTAGGTTCTTTAATTTTTCACATTCCAAATTCCCATTGTGCATGATGCTGCAGTACCAGCACACTCGGGTGCTTATTTCTTCAGTCTTACGAGATAAATGGTTGTGATGTAACAAAATGAGTATACTAGCTGCAGGCTCAGAGTAGAAGGAAAATAAGTAATGAAAAAATATGAATGAGTAATTAATTTATATATATATATATATATATATATATATATATATATAATAAAAAGTATTAGTTGTATGTCATGGTGATTAACATGCTTTCTTTCTCTAGTGAGGAGACCATCTGGAGTTGAAATTTGTGCAATGTAACAGAAGTACATGTAAGAGAAATGTCGTTCAAATATACCAATACTATTGTCTAATATCTTTGTCTCTAACAGTGAGCATCAAGAACTCTTGAAGCAGATACAAGAAACTCAAAACTGTGAAGTTCGTGAAGACCTAGAACGTGAATTGGATTGTCTTGTAAAGCAAATGGAAATTAAAGGGGAACAGATATCTAAGTTGAAAAAACACCAAGCTAGTGTAAGGAAATAATTTTTAAAGAGTTTACTTAGGAGCAAATTATTGGAATATAATGAAAATAATTTTTCATGCTGTCGCCAGAGAGAGCCTATATTTAGAATGTACAATCCCATTGGGATTCCAAGACACACAGGTTCAAACAAGAAACTTATTTGAAGCGTGTGTCAGATTCAAACACTCATCCCTGTCTCTATATTTAGAAAGCAATGATGGCTTGAATGCATTTTAGAGGTTTTTTTTATCTTTAGAAATAGTTCAGACTTAAATCTACATAATGAACACTTCAAAATATGTCCAGAAGTTTTTCTCATAATACCCTAATTTTGTCTACTGGAGTGTCCTTCAGTGTAGGTTTCAGGGTACATGCAAATCAAGACACACACACACACACACACACACACACACACACACACACACTGGTTGACATTCAAAAGCATTCATAGTAATATCAACCCCATGATTGATATTTATTACAAAGAGCTTAGTGAGGTGCTGAGGCTTTAGGTAATTATTTAGATACAATGGCTGATACTGAACATCTGGAATGAAGCTAAAGTGGAAAACATTGCCATAAGTAGGATATTATAACTGATGAGGGACTGGTCTACATTGAAAAGTTATATCTGCATAGCAACGTCTCTCAGGCATATGGAAAAATCCACACCCCTGAGAGATGTAGTTACGCTGACTTAACCCGTTGCTACCGCCTCTCAGGGAGGTGCATTGCTGTAGTAAGTGTCTACACTGAAGCCCTGCAACAGTGCAGCTATAGTGCTGCAGCTGTGCCTGTGTAGAGTTTTTTAAGAGTAGACATAGCCTTAGGTAACTCAACCTATGCTACGCAACTCCAGCTACGTAAATAATGTAGCTGGAGTTGATGTACCTTAGGTTGAGTTACCGTGGGGAGGTCGATGGGAGAAATTCTTCCGTCAACTTAACTTACTCTTCTCGTCGGGGGTAGAGTACAGGGGTTGT